AGTCCTTCCTCACTACTACAAACAAAACTACCAAGTCCTTCCCCACTCCTACACACACATACCAGTCCTTCCCACCTACACACACTAAAGTCCCACTCACCTACACACAAAACTTCAAGTCCATCCTCACTCCTTAAAACATACCAAGTCCTTCCTCATCTCCTAATGATACCAAGCCCTTACCTCACACAACACTACAAGTCCTTCACTCCACACAAACTCAAGTCTTCCTCACTCCCCATACACAACATCAAGTCCTTTCACTCTAAAACATACCCAAGTCCTTCCTCACTCCCACACAACATACCAAGTCCTTCCTCACTCCTACACAACATACCAAGTCCTCTCACTCCTACACAACAACATACCAGCCCTCCACTCCCACACAACATATCGTCCTTCCTCACCACTACACAACATACCAAGTCCTCCCTCACTCCTAAACAACATACGTCCTTCCCTCACTCCCACTACAACACCAAGTCCATCCTCACTCCCTAAACAACATATCAAGTCCTTCCCTCACTCCCACAACATACTCAAGTCCATCCTCACTCTAAACAACATACGTCCTTCCTCACCCACAACAACACAAGTCCATCCCCCCACAACAACAATCCTCCTCCCCACACAACAACCAATGCCCCACTCCTACACAACATACCAAGTCCTTCCCTGCAGAGTTAATCACCATCTATTAAGTCTCTTGACTTTTACATCTGACTTCTGAACTGTAATAATTATGTCATTGAAACTACAATTCTTGGTAGTGTTGCCAAGATATATTAAACTTTCCAGTGCCATTTTTCTATTGTAGAGTAATTCCATTGCACCAGCCCCAACATCACTGGTAAAACATAATTTACTTACGAACCATCTGTCTCTGCCTCGGCCCAGTTCAACACGACTTAAATCCATCTGGCAGTCGTGAACCTCCATCATCCAAACAGTTACCTAGCCAGTGAGCCACCATATTGGTATAATTACATAATTAGTATCATCATTAATGGGTCAAAGGCATACATATTTTAAATTGCAATTTAGAATTTGTTAAAGTCTAGAAAAGTTGTCTATATAAAGTTTATCAAACTCCAAACATATATTAGTCTTGTATTATTAAAGTAAAAGATGGCACCAATTTGCAGCCCCTTAACTAATACTAATGAGATCTATCCATACTATTAATACTGAAATGTGCTCCAATTTGGGTTACTTGATCAACAAACACCTTTCCTCAATACCAATATTTTGTTCTTTTTCCATCAGATATAATACAGTTATCTCTTATTTCATCATCTCTGACGTTTTAGCTGCTGAGTTGCACCACCATCCTCCATTTCTAATCACTTGATAACTGTCCTGTTCAGAGTGAGTCGAATGAGACAGACCTTGACTGGCCATCTAAATCTAGTTCCTATTCAATGTTCTTCCATTTACGAGAGATGAAGCGCTGGTCAGAGGAAAGGTCGAATGAAATTGACCTTTTGGACTGGCTATCTAAATCTCCAGGTCCATATTCAATAAGTTCTTTCAGTTAAACAATACAACTTTTCCTTTACCCAATAAAATAATAATGTTGTATTTTTATTGAAACATTTAATATCACAAATATAATATTGTATAGGGCCATTGCTTGTGTTAAGAGATTACTATGACTGTTTGTGAGTGCTACCCAGACCTCAACCCGATAGAGACCATTTGGACCCAGATAGTGAACGCCTGGGAACCTGAAGACAAGCTAAACACTGGTCCCGACTCCTCCTACACACCCAGGACGAGTGTGAGCAGTTTGTGAGGAACCAACCACCTATATAACCTTGTGTCTCAGTCCCAAGAAGGCTCCAGCTGTTCGTGGTTGTTAGGTATTTTTTCTCGTGTTACGTCAAGGACAAATATCTGTTCTGTACACAGCTTGAGACCATCATAACAGCTGTAGATGTGATGGAAAAGCTGGCTTCTTTCTTCACAGCTAGAGGGATAACCTGAGAAAATTGTTGCGGAGTCTGTACCGACGGGTCTCCGGTGATGCTGGGATCGAAATTGGGGTTCCAGAAGCACGTCAAGGAAGTAGTTCCAAATGCCAAGGGGGTTCATTGTATGATCCATTGTTTTGCACTGGTGTCAGAAACCCTCCCTGATGGACTTTGCACGATCCTGGAGACAGTGGTCAAATTTATCAACTTTATAAAAGCAGGAGATCTGAACTCTCGCCTTTTCCAGAACCTTTTTAAGAGACATGGATTCAGAGCATGAAGCCCTCCTCTTTTACTTCAAAGTGTACTGGCTTTCCAAGGGTAATGTTGTGAATCGAGTGTTTGAACTTCGGGGAGAGCTAAAGTGCAAGGGAAGATGATCTTTTAAGTCACTTCAATGAAGTGTTGTGGGAGCCACGTCTTGCATACCTAGCAGTTATATATGAGCAGCTAAACAGGCCGAATCTCAAACTACAAGGCAAGGAAAGAAATGCGTTTCACCTCATAGATTGTCTTCATGCATTTCTTTCCAAGCTCCAGGAAGGTCAATGCAGGAAATGTTGCCATGTTTGAGAATCTTTCAACTGTTCTTGATAAGATTAAGATCATCTGCTTGACCCATGACTCAAAACTGAAATTACTCAGCACCTGAAACCCTTGGAAAGTGAGCTCAAAAAGTACTTCCCAGAACTCGAGGAGGAAGAAGGGAAATTGGTGAGGAATCTTTCTCTGGCACTCTTAATATTGTTCCCATTCCCAATGATGTTCAAGATGAATTCCTTTATCTCAAGAACAATTCTGCTGTCAAAGGCCTATATGAAGAAAAATCACTGAATGTATTCTGGTGCTCAATGAATCCGTTGTATCCAAAAGTTAGTGAGATCGCACTTTGAGTCCGCTTGCCATTTTCTACTACCTATTTATGCGACTGATTTCCCCACCCTTCTACATATATAGAGTAAAATCTGGAAGTGATTGGACGTGGTCCTGGACATGATTGTGCTTTTTCATTGACACAGCCTCATATCAATTGCCTAACTGAATGGAAACCATGTCAGCCTTCCCTTTGAGCTGTGACAAAATATGTATAGGTCATAGGAACCTTTTTCCAACCAAACTGAAGTTTGTTGTGAAACTAGTCTAGTCACTCGTCAACAATAAACAAAATAAAAGAAAGCTGTTCTCTTCATCTGATCAGAAACATCTATTTTTCATCATTATTTGTAGGGGGTTTGGGACTAACTTGAAGGGGGACCATGAGGAATTTGAGAGTTCCTCAAGGGAGGAAATGAGTGAAAAAGGTTGAGAACCACTGCTTTAGATTACATCACTGATTTAAATGTAATTTGCTGGAACATATATCGACCCAATTGCAGTTAGTACTGGTATATATTTCCACAGACTTCCCTACCCTTGTCATTTCTACACATGAGGGGAGGTCTCTTGATAGTATACACACTACACATTTCACCAAACCCTCTTAGCACATTTTCCTTATCTCCGATACATTTTTCCATTAATCCTTTAAACCAGTTTTCTTGACCTCTTTCCTACTAAGTTTGTGTTGAATAACACTCCTCCCCCCATCCGTAGTTGTAACAGTCAACTGCATATATCAAGGAATGAAAAAAATAAATAAAAATAAAAAGTTTGTTCATAATTGTTCATTTCTGAAGTAACAAAATTTTAGTTCATTCTCTAAAAAAATATAGGTACACACTAAAAAAATTATATATACAGTACATATTCAACTTCCTATTACATGGCTAAGTACAAATACAGTACTGTATAACCACACACTGGAACTGACCTTCAAAATTCATTTATTTAAATTATTGGGCCTGTAATTTTTTTTCTATGCAATCATAAAATGACAGTCTACATGAAAGCAATATTCACAAAATACTGGAAGGCACTTGATTAAACTCTTTGAAACACACACAAAAAATGCAAAGGCACTCAGTATTAACAGGGAAGATTAATGAAGCTCCCCACACTGGCACTACTAGTACATTTTTTGCCTATTTTGCTTTACTTAAAACTACTGAAGATATCACAAACAACATAAATTCATAGGACTCGCTATTTGAAAACCAGGTACAACAAATATTTGTTCAATAAAACCAGAAAATACAATACAGGGTACTTATAGTAAATTGACCGACTCAGAGGCCAACAGGTAAAATACATGACTTCTACATTTTACAAATGGTTTATCTTAATCAATTCACATTTTAAGTCAGAAGTGGCTCCATATTCTTAACCCTTTAGTGGCAGGTAAACACTAAAGTTTCACAGATGATGGCCATTACTTACGGGTTAAAAAAAAAAAAAAACTGATGTCCTATTTCTCCACTTGGACAGTCTGCCTTAAAACTATTAACACTTTCCTACATTATGGTATATATTCTTAATAGATAATAAATAGACATCATTGCCAAACAAATACATGTAGTCAAAATATCTCGGTGAGCATTTCAGGCATTGTCGATCTGATTAGCATCCAAATATGGAGGTTGTGGTCAACTAAACTGTATTTGGGGAGAGTTTTGCAAGTCTTTTCATCTATCTATCATCTTTGTTCATCACTCATGTTTGTGTGGTTAATAATGGAGAAAAGAAACCTCAATAAATAACTGATAATGACCAAGGAGAATAATGCAAGGTAGTTCCAGAAAGCAATACTCCTGTATACGTGAATAAGGGTTAATATAAGAAAACATAACCCAAATAAGAGGCGCTGAGTGTGACGAGCGGCCAAATGCCATCCCCCAAAAATTGAGTTATATTATTATCTGTACTCCCCAGCCTTTCCTCTATCTGCAGAAAAACAAACTGTCCCGGTAGTGCAATATTTGAAAGGCCGAGAGCCATATTAGTGAATGTATGTAAAAGCATCTCTATAGCGTGTGATCTGTGCCTAGAGGCGGAATGAGGGGGAGAGGGGTACAAGCACCCATGGCCCCCAATCGTAGCCTCTCTCGCTCATAGTGACTCATCATTTTCCAGTTTCTTAGCTATGGGAGTCCATGTTTCTACAAAAATGTCATAGGAATGCTATGCAATAACACTTGAACCATTTTTTCCCAACTGGCAAAAAGGAGGGAAAGAGGGAGGGAGGGAGGGCCATTGATGACCTTTAACTTTCTGGTGTGGTCTTAATACATTATTGCTTCCATGTAATGAAAATTATACCTGAACAATGCATATTAATGAAACTGCAAACACCACCTATCAAAAACCAACTTTAAGAGCTCTACACACTACCACCTGAATGAGCTCGGTACCTTCATTGGTTCAAAAGTTATGACATTTTGAATTTTTCCAAACTTTATGAATGTTTTTTTTTTTCCATTGTGATTTTTGGCACTTGGCCCCTTGTTGCACTCGGTGCCTCATATAATCTATAGTATAATGCATTGTGTCATCACTCAGAACAATATCTCAAAACCAGTATCTTCTGAATATCAAAATTGCATTTGGAACAAAAAACTGACTATTAACAAAAACAATCACAAATTATCTTAATCAAATTCTTAAGGTTTGTAGTGCTGTATGCCATTCGCCAAACCATATTAATTACCCCATACAGTACATGAATTTTCAATGCAGTTTTATCAAATTGCCATTCTACTTGTGCCATTTAAAAAATAAAATTCACTCTAGACATGGTACAGTAACCATTATGAAATAAATTCTAACAAAATATCTTTGGTACAATAAAGTACAAAGTCCATAAAATTCTGGGTAAAACTGCAAAAAAAAAAAAAAAAATGGCAAAACGTAGTCAACATTTACTTTACTGACCCTAATCTGGTGTGTCAAGCTTTTTGTGTATATGAAAGGAATGCATTCCATTTGCTGGAAACATTAAACACACATTCATAGCTGTCATACTTGGATTCAGAACATTTGTAAATATAAAGGAAATCCAACTTCCTCGGGTGAGATTATCTCCGCTGTTTAATGGCCGACTCAAGTTTGTCCATCACTTTGCTCAACTGCTCGTTCTTGTTGATCTTAAGGAATATACCATTTCGTACTTTGTGGACTGTACACCACCCAGGAACTACTTTTATCAGCAGGTTCAAGTGGCTGTCCACTTCATCTGAAAATAATTAATGAACAATATTCATTAAACAAGGCTACCACCCGCAAAGACAATCTTACAAATTTTTAATATAAAATGGAAGCTAAATTCTTGTGATACAGTAGTCTAAATTTCTACTCAAGTTTCATTGTTGCCAACACAATTAAATAATAATAAAAATAAAACCTCATCAAACACATACCGGACACCCCAAGTTTGTTAGTGACAAGTGAAATAGACCCCAGTCCTATCAAGCTCTAAGCTAATCTTAATATAGGACTGAGGGTGAGTACTAATGGGCCCTAATCCCAATAACCTAATTAGGAATGGAACCATTTGACCTATAACCAAACTTCCTCATTTACTGTATTAATTTAAGACAGGAAAAACCATAACCATGACAAATTTTACACGCAATTTCCCTTGAAAGTCAATTCAAGGTGAACTTACTTGCACCCAGCATGGACGAGTAACTGGCAGTAACTTTGGCGGCAACAACCTCCCAGGATAAAGCAGCTTTTTTCTCTGTGATAAATATGTTGCGCATGATCCTGGATATTTCAGGCAGCCTGGACAGCATTTCCAACTCCTTGTTTTCACCGCTGCTCCTGGTCATGTCTCTGGCAATTTGGGCCGCCTCTCGAGCACGAATCTGAAACAGGTTAAGAATTTTTGTTCAGACTTTTACGCTGATATACTGTAAGCTATACTAAACATGGAATTCATAACATGTGAGAATCCTCAAGCTTTTACTCAAAGAAACCAAAAAGGAGACACAACCAATGCAATTAAAAAAAGAAAAAAAAAACACCTGACAGACAGACATGTCGCACCATATCACATCACAATGCACAGTTTTACTTAAAAGTCCCACATTACTTATTACAGTATTCCATGTTACACCCAGTATATATCTCCTCTTTCAGACACATTCAAATACAATAATACTGAATTTATAGTAAGGGATGTGTACACTTGCTTCAAATACTATCTATGATTTTGTGAGACGATATGACAAGAGGGAGGGAAATAATTGGGATCACCTGAAGATTAATAACCCTACTGCTACCCAGAAGGGGTTAGGTTGGGTAAGGTTTGTGTGTTCAATCTTTCATGTGAAATAAGATGGGTGTCTAATCTTAGAATGATCTGATAACTACCCACATACGGTAATAAGATGTTTTACCTTCTCCAACAGTGAACTTGAGACACCCTTCAAGGCTGCAGCAATGTTGGCTGGTTTGGCCACAGGGACAGGTGCTGGCTCAACTTTAACAGGAGTCTTTGCTGCTAGCTCTTTCATAGCTTTTTCCATCCGGGAATTAACCGAGAAGAGATCCTGGGCTTTATCTAGTCAATAGGGAGACATAAATGCCATGAAAAAACATAAATATCATGAAACAAGTTAACACCTACATTTAGAGAAAAAATATAACATATTATCTATAGTTACATTTCCAATCAACCTGTGAAAGTCTGGAGAGAAGAGGCTTTGTATTGCAAGTGAGACAATACTTTAATTCCCCTGAGAGAGACTATACTGTACAGCAGTCCTGATACACAAAATTATATTAAAATAACATTAAAATGTCTGTTAACCAGAAATCTACTGCACAAAAAACTATATTTTACAAAAGAAATTAACCTTTTCACTATGGGGACGTCCCATCTAATATTTTAGTTGGTTAATGCCAGATGATTTTACTCAGCAAAGAGAGGACCCCATGGCCTGTACACAAGTTGTTAAAAAAATTTAGAATTTTTTATATCTGAAAAGTGAGTAAATGATGAAAAATTGGACATTCAGGTTCAGTGATTATGCTTGGTGGTGTGAAAGTAGGAGGTTAGTGTACATGCATTTGCAGAAACTTATACTGTACAGTACTGTAATCACACTGACAAGAACATACTGTACAGTACCATAGCTTTTTACATGTTTTCCTTGGGCACACATTTTTCAAAAGCCTCTTGGATCCATAATTTTTGGTTGACAAATACTTTATACATAATACGAACAATGACACTTTGGATGTACAGTATAGTGTCCCCCCCCCCCCCAAGACGTGGATTTTAACTGCGCAGAACCCAACTACAGTAATACTGTATCTCCATTAGCCAGAATCCCTCAAACCCGGAACTCTCCAATAGCTGGAATTGAAATTTTCTCGAAAAATCATTTCCAAAGCCAGAATTTTCCAGAAATTTCTGACTTTGGGAATGATTTTCCGAGGGGCACATTTTCTGGAAAATTCTAAGAAAAATTTCCCAGTATAGTACACAGAAAATTCCATGGATGTTTTTTTTTCTGGTTTTGAGAGATGAAAAACGGGCACATTTTCCGGAAATTCCAAAATAACTTTTTTGGTACCTGGAAAATTCCAGGGATGGGGGATATTTTACCGGGTTGCAACGATGATTTAATGCACAATATCTGGAACTTCCAACATTTTTCCATTACCTGGAAAATTCCGGGGATGAGGGATTTTTTCCTGCCTTGGGAGTTGTCCCATTACCCAGAAATTTCTCATTCCCGGAAGTGCTCTGCCCCAATTGTTCCGGCTAATGGGAGATTCTTAAGTACGCAGAACTCCCAAATACGCGGGAGTAAATTTCCATGTGACTGCTGATTGGCTGAGTGGCCACTAGCAACCATTAACACATGAGGATGTCACCAATGATGCGGACGCCAGTCCCAAATCTCCTCTCCTCAAGACACTACAGCGACAGCTTCCGTGAATACCCCACCTACTGCTGTTGGGACTCCAGCACCTGCCCAGCCAGGCAGAAGAGTGAAGTCAATGACCCTGGCATGCAAGAACAACATAATAGACTGGCTGGACAATGGCAAGAAAGTGATTATTCTTCTTATTTAACGGCTTATTTTTGTTTTATTAGTCACCTTATATGACTATGGTACACATTTAACTAAGGGTAACTTTCATAGAGGTGATGTGCAGAAAAGTGCTATGAAAGACCAGTTTTGAGTTCATGTTGTGTATCTAGAGGGGTCCCGGAACCATTTGTTTTTCCCCATTAGTTTATAGTACCCAAGTATGCGCCGCTCCGTTGGCACCAATTACCCCTGTACTTGGGGGGAGCACTGTACAGTACAGTAAGTCCCCGCTTAACGTTGTAGTTACATTCTTGAAAAACACAATGTTAACGGAATCATCACCGAGACTCGGAGGGTTTAAAACCTCCATAAGCAAGGCTTATGACTTTGCATTGCTTCTTCACAACACTAGCACTTAATGGGCGCTTGGAAGCCATTTTGAATGGTTACAGTCGAGTATTTAGAGCAAAAAACACTTAAACATGCATGTACACTGTGGAAGCCTAACAAAGACTGGAGACGCTTGGGGACGCTGTGACACTCCTCGAGAGAGCGTAGCGTGCCAAAATGAGAGAGGGTGATGCGCCATACAAAGTAGTCAGTGACGATGTTATAACGAATCAGTTGGGACGTTGTCGGAATCATGGGTATCTACAGAGTAGAGACGTTATAACGAAACAATGTTGTCGGGGGCAACGCTAAACAAGGACTCAGTGTAATTAAAAGTCAGCCATAATAGAAATACTCACCAAGAATATCTCTGGCAGTCTCAAATTTCTCAGCGATGGGTGGCTGTGGCAGAGGAGCTTCCTCAATATCTGGCATATCTTCGAGTGGGAATGATGGATGCCACCTTTTAATGTTCATGCCTGAGCTTATGATGGGTGGGTCGAGGGACTGTATAAAAAAAAAAAAAAATTATTAGTTTTCCTTTCTGAGTAGGAAAGGCATATTACATTGTAAAGTGCATATAACAGACTAAATGGTGTAATAGCATTGCACTGAAGACATGAAAAGTAAATGATGGAAGTAGGTAATGGCGTTAAATGATAAAACAAACAAAGAGCCCACATTGGGAACACAGGAGGATGTATAGTCCCCTTCACTAGTGCATTTACATGGGCTTGTCAGGTTTTGTGCAGTGTGGGGGGCTGTGTTCATTCACACTCGACAAAAGGAATCAAAGTAAAAAAATATGAAAACAAATATCGCAATGTAATGATTTCTGGAATGTTTATATGTTTAATAAGACATACATTAATTAGACTGTTATTAGCTCATAACTTTTGCATAGCGGACGGTGGTACAGCAAAGTGAAGTGACATAAGGGGATGGGGGGGGGACAGGTGCCTCTCTACCTACAGGCATGGTATCTGTGAATGATAAATTATTAACACTCAATTTAAGCTTAAGTTTATATCTATTATTTTCCTTGTCTGCTGTGTTATGCAGATAACATTCAAACTGTTCATGTTAAACTTTGGCCAAGGTGTGGACAAGAGGTTTGTTGCTTGCTAGAACAATCTACTATACCACAGTATGTTGGGAGAAAACCATAATCATTGCTGTAAATACATTCACATCCTTGAATAATGGGTGCACTGAGCCAGTAATACTAGGTAAGAAATATTTTCATAAATTTATATATTATATATCTGGTGGCATATACAGTATTGATTGTTTAAATACCTGTATATACCTGTATAACTTGATGTAATCACAATGTTTGCGTATATTAACGTTTCTTCTACAGGTATGATCGCCTCAACATATAATTATGAGGAGACGGAGTGGACAAGTGAGGACACTTGACGCTTGATGCAGGTATATTTGCAAAACTGCAAGTCTTCTTTCTCCCATCCCTTCGAGAGAGAAACTTCCATTTCCCTCTAGGCCCCATAAATTTTGTACAGGAAGATGTCCTGTAAAAAGGGCAAGGATTGTTCAGTAGTGGTTCAATGACCAAAAACACTTTCAGCTACTGAACTGGACTGGCCTAGCAAGGGTTGCGATATAAACTCCATAAAGAAATCGATGTTTGTGTGAAGTCTTTTTATCTTTATCCTAATCACAATTTCACGAGCTGAAGGAGTACCCCAGCTGTTGTTTGGCACAATATATTTTCTTTCCTAAAGCATTATCTAATTGTCTATCAGTTGCATTCACGGACAAGGGAGGCTAAGGCCACTTGAGATACATGTTTGGTGTTGAGAAAGAAGGCTGCTGTAATATTGTAAATGTGTGAATGGAGTAGTGTGTGTGTGTGTGGTTTATATGGAACAACCTGTTGTATAGTAGTCATTATTATTACTTTATACAGTGATATCCCCATTAGTCGGAACAATTAGTGCAGAGCATTTCCGGGGTCTGAGAGATTTCTGGCTAACCAGGTGACTTTCTCAAACCCAGAAAAATCCTCCTTACCCGGAAACATTTCCGGTTATTGGAAATACTTTTCGAATGTCTAAACTATACATCTTGCACAGACAAATACTAGCTCCCATAAGGAGTTTCAGTTCGATTAACGAAATCCTTACGACAAACACGTTTTGTTGTGCGCATCAGCTGATCGGCTAGTCCGCCAATACAGTAATCGATTCTATGTTTACATTCGTTTCCAATGGAGTAAATATCAAGAAAGTTGTGCTCTTTAATATTTCTGCATTTTTTATATTAAAATTATTGGTCATTCTGAAATTTAGTTAACATATTGATAATATATGCAGTACAGGGAACAGTTTTTGTGTGCCAATCAGCTGATTGAATCACCCAACATTGCTTCTCAGTTTAACTTTGTTTACAGTGGGGTGAACATCCAGTTTGTTGGTCTCTTGAATATTTTTGCATTTTTCCATTAAAATTATTGGTCATTCTGAAATTTAGTTAACATATTGATAATATACAGTGCAGAAATTATTATGAAACACGATAGAACCAATGCACTTTGTAAAGATTATGGCATGTCATCATCGACTGCCTCTGCAATCAGCCGTTTGGTATGTATAACAAAGCTGCCGGGAATACAACATACACACCTCAAAGTAAGTTAAAATACAGTATTCTATTGTTTTTTATTTATTATTGTACAGTACTGTATTTAGTTTATATTTAATGTTTTGTTTATCCTATTACTGGTATACTGTACTTTACATGTATACTTTTTGTGAGAGTTTATAACCAATTATCCAATATCCCATTGAAAGAACAGATTCTGTTAACGAAATTTTCGGTTAACGAACGACTGTGGAACGAATTGTGTTTGTCAACCGAGGGACCACAACACAGATTATGTCAAAATACTAGATCAGAAGAAAACCTTCCATTGTCGACAGTGATAAATAAATATGAAATGTTCCATTGGCAACATTAGTGTTGCCAACATGTTTCTATTTTAATAAAAGCGGTAGACAATAGTCTGAAGTCTCCTCCACCGCACATCATTTATTTGGAAACATATTCAAGACATATTGTTACCTTCATACTGGTTTCAAAGATTATAATGTCTTAAATGGAAACGGATTGAAAATTTTGTATGTGACAGGTGTTGAACACTGATTACGGTGTTGTTATCAATGATCAGTCAATTCACACCTCTCCCTCAGCCATGATTCCTATACAGATAAAGTAATAGATATAGCCAATAAGATGGTAATTAGTAGTGCTTTGAAAAAGTCATATTTTCATTGACAGTTCACCATCTTACACAACCATACATGATATGCACCTCGGATACTGAGACAAATGGCAAGCACCATATATTACAGTATTAGTATTACATGTTTTATTTACTTTATTAGAATGGTATAGTAGATTGTTCTAGCAAGCAACAAATAAATGTGAATAAAGAATCACTGCAATTGACTTCAAACCTCCTCTTGTCTACCTTGGCCAAAGTTTAACATGAACAGTTTGAATGTTATCTGCATAACACAGCAGACAAGGAAAATAATAGATATAAACTTAAGCTTAAATTGAGTGTTAATAATTTATCATTCACAGATACCATGCCTGTAGGTAGAGAGGCACCTGTCCCCCCCCCATCCCCTTATGTCACTTCACTTTGCTGTACCACCATCCGCTATGCAAAAGTTATGAGCTAATAACAGTCTAATTAGTGTATGTCTTATTAAACATATAAACATTCCAGAAATCATTACATTGCAATATTTGTTTTTATATTTCTTTACTTTAATCCCATAGTATGTTTACTAATGCGAGTTTCCTTCTGTTGAATGTAAGCGAACACAGCACTGCCACACTGCACAAAACCTGAAGAGCACCTGTAAATGCACTAGTGAAGGGGACTGTACACTTGCTCCAAAAGGTCTCTTTATTAAGGAGTCTGATGAATTTCAAAATGATCACCGCAAATCCTGTTGTCTTGGTAAGGTCATCAAAATTCTTCATCCATTGTGTCATTGTCTCACACAAAATCCTAGAGATACTTTTTGGAGAGAGTGTACCTATTGATTGAATGAAACTGCAGAGGCATAATGAGATAGGGTCACTGGTAGGGCTTTCATACATCACCCAGTGGTGTATGCTGCCACAATGGTTAAGAAAAACCCTCACCACTCATACAAAAATACACAAGCAACGAAGTACAAATGTTTAAAAAATATGTCTAAAACAAATATAACTTGTAAACTCATAATAATGTAAATTATGTAATACATTTTCATCCCTTTCTCCATCACTTTGAAAGGATTACTCTTGTTCCATTACAAATTTGATTTCACATTACCTGAAGGAACTCATCGTGGTGATTCCTCAAGATGTCCACCAAGGAGTTGTGGAATATATTGCGGCGCTCAACCATCACTATGGAATCCATTTTGCGAAACTAAGAAAATAAAAATAAAATAAAAATAAACGAAGAAGTTGACTTAATATAATATAATACTTTGTTTCATAATTTTTATATCTCTCCCACTTGTATATGGGCTGGGGGACTGATATAGAAAAGGGAGGAAAAATGGAGTGAAGTCACAACTAGACATTTATTCCCAGTAATATAATATATGCATTTTAATCATTACCTTCAAGGGACCATTCACCAAATATACTGATAATGAGTGCCACCTATATCAATGCAATATTTTACTGACCTTAGAATTTTCAGGACGAGCAACTTCATCAAACCTGGAGGCAAGGTTTTGAGTGGAGGATGGTTTATATGCCAAATTAGCTGTAACTGTTAATTCATAGGGATTGCTGGGTTTGTCTCTTGCACCTGAAATTCCATATAAAGTATACATATATATAATTTTCTAAGAATAATGACCTCGACAAGACACAACCATTTCTTTTTTTTTAATCATAAGGCCAAATATCAAACCCCTTCAACTCTGTACTTTGTTTCATCTGCAGAACATTAAATTTACCTGTATTTTTGTGATACTTGTTGCTTTCCTGCTTGAAGATATAAGCAAGTGGGAACACAGTTTTTATCTGCCCGAGGTACTTCTCCTGAAACGCCCTACAGATACAACACAATTAGTGAAAAATCTAATTATAAAAAACTAGCTGGACACAAAGGTCAAAAGTTCACTCCCTCCCAAAATGATGCAGTATTGACTCCAAATGAGATAAAACAGCACACCCACAACAGATGACAGTCAGGGTAAGGCAGTTCGGACTCATTCCCGTGACTTGGTTTCACCATGGGGAGCGAACTTTTGTTTAACTGTACAGTACAATGTAGTTTAACTTCAACAATATGTTAGTCTGCCTCAATCGCGACTACCCTTTGCTCACCTTTATCGTGATGCCTAAATTAATGGTGCAGCATCCTCAAGGCAGAACTATAAGGAAGTTATGACCTGTATGTTTCTACCCTACAAATTTCCTTACAGATATAGTAATAAGTACAGTAATTCCTACTTCTGCTACATTCTTATCTTTTTTTTACTTATATCTTTTTTGGGTGGTGTACTATATTATAAAAAAACTGTGGTGCACAACAATACCTGTCATATATCAAGAGCCAATTTTTACATAATCAATTAATAAACAATACAGTATTTTCTAAGCTTCTGCCATATGTGTTTCTGTATAGTAATATGTGGGAGAGGAAAACTAAGACAGACACAAACAGCACAAACCTACAGCCTGTAGGTTTGTGCTGGTTTTGCTGGTATTAACACAGCACAGTAGTTGTGCAGTATACTGTACTCAACAGGTTCAAGTTATATCCAAACATCTATTAATACCTTCTCAACATTTCCTGGACGGCCGGCTTTAACTTGCTGTATGTGATAACTTCTTGTCTGTTGTGGAGGAGAGAGACAACTGTGTCAATGGCCCGAAAAACTTCCTTTATTAAGCGGTATTTGTATGGCAGCACAAGCTCATCTGATGGCTTCTCCACCAGATGCTGGAAGCGTTCATAGGCAGGAGCCTTGACTGGAGTCTTCAGAGGGGTTTTACATGGGCTGGAAGTATACATATGTGGATCAATCAATTTTATGAAATTACCCGGTATGTTAAGTCCAATTACCGATATTCAAACAATGCTAATTAATATAAAACAAATCACAAATTCATCTATATTAATTTTGTTTGATGAGCTTGGGAATTGACACCATAATTTATTTCTCATATTCCTAATCATGCCCTGATGGAAACATTTAACACTATTATAGTGCTGCAAACACTAAAACTGACCCTTCATAAAATTTAAAATAAACAAAAGATAAAAGAAAATGTTACTATGGCAGCTATTGAAATATTAATAATGAACTATAACATATCTGCATTATAATCTATAATAAAACCAACATTCTAAAAATACCCATTCAAAACAATAATGCATCAAAGGTGCTACTGTGTTCTCAAATGTTTCAGTTAATGGTAGGTTTGTTTCTACACCAATGTCAGTCTCTTACCTAATGGGAATTTCAACATCCACTGATGTAAACTTCTTCAAATGCAAGCTTGTGCCCCTTTTACACGGTGAGGGTGGTTCAACTGACTGTAGATCAGAAATAGTACTTTCCTTGAACTGTTGGAGTTTTTCACTGCACTGGTTCACCTTTAGAAGTCTGGCACGTAACTCATCCAGTCTTCTACATTTCCCTAAACGTTCTTTTATCTCCTCTGGTGTTAACTTCTGTTGAAGATAATATATTTAGGCAAGAAGAAACTAATTATACTTATATGTACTGCAGTAATATTGTATTAATGAACAGGAATGTACATTAATTTGAATAACAATAGTAATAATATCAGCAACAATAGTAAGAGCAATAATAATAACAACAATGATGATAATAATGATACTACAGTAATATCTCCGCTAGCCGGAATCTCTCAAACCCTGAATTCTTCGATAGCCAGAATTGAAATTTTCTCGGAAAATCGTTCCCAAAGCTGTAATTTTCCGGAAAATTCCGGCTTTGGGAATGATTTTCTGAGGGACACATTTTCTGGAATATTCCCAAAAAATTTCCCAATACCTGGAAAATTCTGGGAATAGGGGTTTTTTCTTCTTCCCGAATTTGAGATATGAAAATCAGGTGCATTTTCTGGAAATTCCGAGACAATTTTTCCGTTACCAAGAAAATTCCGGGGATGAGGGATACTTTTCTGGGTTCGAGAAATATGTAATGGGCAATTTCTGGAACTTCCGCGAAAATTTTTCCGTTACATTGAAAATTCCGGGGATGAGAATTTTTTTCCGGCTTTGAGAGAGTTGTCTATTGTAATGTACTATTAATATGAATGATCTAAGTCCATAAAAGTACTGTACTCTTCAAAACTACCACACCTGTACATACACTACTATATATACAGCATATATTGACTGGTTGCTTTGCTCTAAAAGTTGCCCTTAAAATGAAACACAACCCCAGTACCATACTAACATCTGAGGTGGTGTTAGAGCCCATGTTAAGTTTCTTCTTGGCTGATCTCTGTATATTGACTGGCTGCCCACTAATTTTACTCTCAGGACCTTCTGGTGTATTGAGCCCATCCTCCTCAATCTGCTTCCTCTTCTTCCTTTTGGAGTCTTCATCTTCACCTCTTTTTCTTTTAGGAGTTACAGGAGGAGTGGAATTTTCTTCAGCATTCAAGTAAGGTGTTGGATTGACAACTTTTTCATTTGCTCGAGTCTGCAAAATAAATTACCTTTTCTTATAAACTGAATGTAGGCAACAGAACCTAATAACTTTACTTTCATTTTGAATCCATTTAATGGTTTTCCATTTCCTATACATCTTCAAGAAAGAATAAGATGTGTCCCACAACCAAGCTGCTGAGGAAACAGTGAGCACAGATTTGGAGTTTGCAAAAACAACTTCAGGGTCTACATGCCAAGGACTGCAACACCCCACAGAAACTCATTGAAAATCCTTGAAGGTATCTTGACCCACAAGTTTTGAAGTTTTTTGAATCACAGATCAAACACTGCCACTGAAAGGAAAAAAAGGGGGGGGGGAGCGGGGGGTTCAAGAACATATATTTTTTTGGCATGAGCTACATACAGTGTGGCTCCCCAAAAAATTTTAAATGTAGGCTGGAACTATAATGCCTTTACAGTATTCAAAACATGACTGAGACACCAAACATGACTGGTGCCAGTACCGCAAGAGTGTCTCGATGACGCTGATTTAAACATGAATATTAGTAGAATGAAAAATGTTTAAATTACGTCTATTGCATCATTTACGCCCACTAAGATCAGATTAATGTTGTAAATTATTGTTCAAGAAAAAGTTTGGTTATGTTGAGCCACAGTCCCATCATTTAGGGAGGAATTATCAAAATAAAGAGTGCACATATCAGTATGTTCCACTTAATGAAACATCAAAAAGTCTTTTTACTGATGAATCTGTTCAGAGTGAATACAGTAAGACAATGGTGGCCCAGATTAATGAATCAAGCAGTTATGGAAAATGTTATCAAGATATTACTGATGGACAAGCTTTCAGTAGTAACATGCTATTCAAATATAATCCAAATTCACTAAGGATTATTCTTTATCAAGATGCCTTTGAGGTTTGCAATCCAATTGGCTCTAGTAGAAAAAACATAAGATTCTTGCTGTAACAAAGAACAGAACAAACCGTGAAAAGTGAATTAGAAATTAACGGCAGTGATGATGAAAATCAAGTAAAAAGTGAAAAACAGATGGAGGAACTAATGGTGATATTTCAGTACTTGGGAAAAAAGGATGGTACAAAGCAAATAAAAACAATGACAACCAAAGTAATTTGAGTGGTCAAGTGAATAGCCAGACAGAAAATGGATAAGAATGTGGGAAAGGAAGAAAAGATGAAGGGAAGAAAATGGATCCAATTGGAAAAGATGATTCATGGTGGGAAAAGGTGGAACATGTACAAAGCTGGACAGTGCGAGCAGTTAGTGGTAGTAAGGTGATGATAAGTAAGAGGGATGGAAAAGAAATAGCCAAAAAGGAGGCAAAAAAAAAGGAATAATAGTACATATGAAGAAGGAAAAAGAGACAAAAAAAGGAAAAAAGTAAGTAAACTATTTTTTTTATTTCATTATTAGAACAATAATTAAGATGTACATAATGTTTGCAACTTTAAATGTGAATGGTCTAAATAGTTTAGGTAAACAAATGCAACTATTATCTGTTGTTAAGTATTATTTTTTTTACTTTATCCTTTCGGCCACTGATCGCTTGTTAGCCGCTACGATCGGTCACGACTTTTTCCTTTATATTCTTCACCAAAAGGTCGCCCGCAGGCCGCCAAGGATCGGTCACGCTCTGTCACGCATCATTGTTGGCAATACTGGGCATGCACTGCCCTGAATGTACCTGAACCCAGCCCAGTGTTGGTCAAGTCTTCTTTGAAAGAGCTTCCACACTCTGGTGCCACAACACTTTCTGGTAGATTGTTCCAGAAGAGGCTTAGGAACCCCACTCCGAAAAAGTTTGCCTGCTTTCCTCGACTTGCGCCTTCAATCTTGAGCTGTGACCCCTGGTGGGGCGAGCGTCCGCCAGCTCCAAGTAAGGACACTCAACTGAGTAGTGCCCCCTGAGATGCTTATAAACCTCAACTAGGTCCCCCCTTGCCCGTCTGTAGTATAAGCTAGGCAAGTTCAGGCGCTCCAATCTCGCAGGGTAGCTGAGATGCCGAAGTGCAGGCACCAGCTTGGTGGCCCTCCTTTGAACATTTTCAACCAACTGACAGTCCCTAGCATATCTCGGGGACCAGATGGGGTGACAGTACTCCAGATGGGGAAGCACTTCACTCCTGAAGATCGTCACGAGGGACGGACCGTCTAGATATCTGAACGACCTTCTTATAAGACCCAATAATTTATTTGCCTGATTTACCTTCTTCTCACAATGGCCCGAGAACTTCAGCTCCTTGTCAACATACACACCTAGGTCCTTCTCATTAATACAGTCTCAACTTGTGTAGCCTTTTCTTTCTCATCCATACATATGGTACGCCTCCTACTGCTAGCTTCCAGGTGTGGCCCTTCTTACACTTCGTGATATTGAATCTTCAGCAGCCATTCCTTCGACTATTCCTGGAGCCCACAGAGGTCCTTCTGCAGCTCTTTCTCACAGTCCGCTTTGTCTTTAACTCAACACCCTTGGCCATCGGGCAAACATTTGTATGGAGGAGTGTACAACGCTAGCATATCATTAAGGAAACAAATAAACAACAGCGGCCTAATATACACTACCTCAAGCGGTACTCCACTTGTTATAAGGGGTACAGATGACGATTTTCATAAGAGTTAATCATCACACATTGCTGCGGTCATGTAGAAAGTCTTCTATCCACGCTTAGGACATTTCCTAATTCGTATTCTTTCCAGTTTGATTTCAGCCTTCAAGGTACACTGTCGTAAAGCCTTGGCAAAATCTAGTAAATATTGTCGATACATTTCACCCCGCTCTAGAACATGGGTCCAAATATCCAATACCTGAGCAATGTGTCAAGCAAGAGCTTCCGCATAAAACCGTGTTGGCAATCTTTACAAGGTTGTTTTCAGTAGATGTTCCATCGCTGGGTATCTCTGATAATACTCTCAAGCATTTTACATATTATGCTGGTCATCCTTATGATACAGGAACATAATGTTAAGGATCCAGGGAAATTAACTTGTCTAAATCATTACTTCAAAATTATTATAAACAGGACACATTTGTTAAAAGGAGGAACTGCACTATTAGTTAGAAAAAATTCCACTTTCAAAATACTCAACTATGAGATGGATGAGAATGGCCAAATTTTATGTGTCAGAGTATCCGTGTTAGACCATATAATTCCCATTATTAATATTTATGCCCCATCAGGGAATACAAGGAAAGGAGAGAGAAGAACTGTTTTCTGATGATTTATTATATTATATGAGAAATAATATTGAAAATATAATGATTGGGGGAGACTTTAACTGTGTTACCAGCATGAGAGATTGTAGCAATCATGACAACAAAGGTTTAGTGTCCAAAGCTTTATCAACTCTTATAAAGGATATAAAACTTAAGGATGTTGCCATGATACATAACTATCAACCTGAGTTTACATATGTTAGGGATAAATATGGGTCAAGAATTGATAGGCTTTATGTTAAAGGGCTTGAGAACAAAATAGTAAAATGTGATACGGTTCCAGTCAGTTTTTCTGACTATTCAATGGTTCTGTCAAAAGTAAACATTAACAAAAATATAAAAGTAGGTAAAGGTTTCTGGAACCTGAATTGTAGTATTTTAAACACTGATGAGGTACAGGGAAACTTTGGAGTGTTTTGGAAACATGTTAAGGAGAAAATAAGCACATACTAGAATATTTTACAGTGGTGGGAACAATGTGCTAAACTAGAATGTAAGAACTTTTTTTATATAAATATGTAAAAGAATGTCTCAAGAAAAATATGGGTTAATTAATATATTTTAAAGTAGGTTAAGAGAACTTTATGAAGAAGCTAAATACCTTGATGTGAATTATGAAGAAATAAAGGCACTGAAAATCAGAATAAATGAATTGAGGAACAAAATTTGTGAAGGTATTAAAATAAGATCCAGAATAAAAGACAATAGAAGGAGAAAAGCTTCTGGCCATTTGATCTGTAAAGAAAAAAGTAACGGAAACAAGGAATTAATTACTAAGGTTGGTCAACTAAAAAAACTGGCAATTTCCGACGGAAATCAAGGTCAGAACCAATCAAAACACACGATAATACAATAGAAAAACATAGGTATGACCTTCTAACATTGAACTATTATAAATTTACCAGATTTTAATTTCACTGACTAGTGTCACAATGGCCATGGCGCGCCCCAATGTTTTAAACTACTGAAACATTTAGGTTAGTTTTCTCCCCCACCCAAAAAACCTGATTTACCAGGTTCTCCCCCATTATTGTGTGTGTGTGGGGGCAAAAGACGAGCAATTTCCCCCCAAAATGAAGGTCAGATGCGTTTAACACACCAAAATACACTGGAAAAACATTGATCAACCCCTAGGGACTCATGCTCTAAAATAAAAATTTACCGGAATGTTTTATCCCGATTACAAAGCTAAAATTCAATTCAATATTATCTGGACCACCACCATCACTTATTGTTTAAAGTTTAGAACTGGATGCAGCCTCTCTCCAGAACGTCATCCGTGAGTAATATGTGACCCCTCTCTGAGTCCTTGGCCTTCCCCACCAATGATCACTTGGTACACCCTTAAAGAACTGTCACCTACCACAACATCCTGAGGTAAAGAACTGTCACCTACCACAACATCCTGAGGTTCAACGCTGGGTAGAGACGAGACCTTGGCAGCAACCTTCCCCAGTAACACTTTAATGTCCTGTGTCCCGGCTTCTCGCGCCCTCTTCACCTGTCCCTTCTTCGTGGCGACTCCTGGTGGTGTGCCTTTTCCATTCTTAATTAAATTGGTCTCTCGGACACCTTTCCTCGCCTTGAAGAACTGATGTAAGTCAGTTTGTGTGGCCGCCATGGTAAACACTCCACTACCCGCCATAAGTCTTTACCTAAACTCGTTTTTCATTAATACAGTTTAAAGTCTTTGTATCTATCCCATATCCATTTTGTACTATTTATTCACTATATATTTTAACAATTTATTTTTTTATTTAATTTATAAATATAATATACATTAATTTGTAGTTTATTAATGTAGATTTGTTAACTCGTCTATGAGCGTCTGTCCCGTACCCTTTAATAGCCATTCATTGTTGAACCTTATATTAACATAATATCGCGTGAATGAAAGAGAGAAATAAATTACCATATCCCTGAAGTTAAAAGACAATTAATTTTTAGAAAGGACGATGTGGAAAAGGTATAAAGTAAACATTTCAGACGTGGTACTTTGACTTGTCTTTATGGACGTTGCTCTAAATTTGATTAAACAACCTCAAGTATATTTTATTTATTTATCAACACGAAATTACAAATAAATACGTCATTCTGATAACAAATGGTGTAAATACTTTTTTTTACTATTGAAACTGCAAGTTGTTTACCACTGAAGACTATGAGTTGTGTTTGACTCACATAATCTGGTTCAGAGGTCTGTATTTAATTCCCAGCCTCAGGGAGTCAATCTTCTCTACACCTGTATTATTTTACATATAAAATTTTAGGGGGAAACACAAATAATGTTTTCAAAAATTATGTTAACATTATAATATTACTGGTGTATCAGAAACGACTAATAAAAGAGATAAAGGAAGATTTAGAGTGAGAGTCCGACTTTAGACTCGCCAGTACAACAAGTCATCCACAGCTCATCATTGTCCTGGTGTAACTTAGTGAGTGATTTCCTCATCATTTTGGTCTTTATTTCTCATTTTATTCATATTTTAGGATCAGTGAAATCATGATCTATCCCTAGATAGTCCAGGATTATTTAGAATGTAATACATGTAAAGATATTTTGTTCCGTACACTTATCATACAAGTTAACATAGGTTTATTATGTATATATAGACTGCAGGTTCACAATGTACTCTAATTACCAAACTTAGAGTGCTGGTATGCAGTGGACTGGATGTAGATTTGGTGGAGGATCAAAAACTGCTGCTTTGTGCATGGAAAAATATGATATTGCATTCCTTGTCAGTTTTTTTCTTCTGTTTATTGAGGTACAAATGCGTTTATCTTCTGTGGAGAAATAGTGCTAGGTAGCTGCTTCTGCCAGACTACTGTCAAGTATTACTGTACCCAAAATAATTGGCACCCTAACCTAACATAAACCAATACATTATTATCTTCTATATAAAAAAAAATCGGCCCATAAAAGGAAAAAAACAAACACAGAAGCACTGGATGTAAGCAGAGAAGTACTCTATGGGTTGTTTCAGACATACCCTGTAACTACAATACCAGTAGATCTATGTAGTTTTTTGTTGATTCTCTCAAAGTTCCGATGTCATGGCCTACTTGTTGGGTGAGATGATTGATAAAGCAAAAGGTTCTGCATCAAGTCTGTCTGCACCAGTCTGAGAGGTGTGGTCAAGTCAGGAAGGTTGTGCAGATTTTAATCATCAATTTCAGGATTAGGATTGGAGGAAAAGGTGCTTTAAATTTTAGAATTTACTCGTAAGTGAAAGAGTATAGAATTTACACGAGTTAAGAGCAGTGGATGAAATGTATACTGACAGAGTATACTCACAGATGATCTTCTGCAAGAGGCTCACGCCCGTGACTCCAGCTCAATAGCCTCTTCTCTACTCAGACGGTGGCTGCGTGTGGCGGATATTTGTGCCCTATAATTATATACTTGTTCTTGATTTTTCCAGTATTTATCTAATTTTGCTTCAAACTTTTCCACCGTCTCCACATTCACTACCCACTCAGGTAAACCCATTCCAGTTGTTGAGAACCCTACTCGGGAACTAATGTCTTCTGAGATTTAGCCTCACTCTTGTTTTGTAGATCTTCTTTGTGTTCCCCCGGGTAGTGTCAGCCTCCCTCATCTGGAACATTCCTGCTGTACATGCCTGGTCATATATGCCACACACTATCTTGTATGTTCCCACTTGGTCCCCACGAGATCTTCTGTACGCCAGTGTCGGTAACTGTAATTTCCTTAGTCTTTCCTCATAAGATAAATCCTTGATCTGTGGTACTAATTTGGTAGCACTCCTCTGTACATTCTCTACTGCTTCAATATCCTTAATGAGATATGGGCACCAAATTTGATTAGCATACTCAAGGCGTAGCCTAACCAGAGCAGTGAAATTTAATAATTGTTGGTATGTCTTTCTTGATTCAGATTAGCGTGATACATCATAGAAGATAAGGTTGATTTCTTCTAAAAACATTAAAAGGAACTGGAGAATTTGTGACAAGAAACCAAAGGGATAAAATCTCCAAAATGGTAAGTGATTGACTTTGAGGTTTAATACCTTAGTAGTATGCAGTACAGTGAAACCTCTTGTTAATGAACTATATGGAAAGGGAAGTCCATTTTATCAAGGGTCCATTAGATGTGCAACCTTCATCTAACGAATTATATAGATACAAAAGTTCATTGTACTGTACTGAGGATCCGTTATATGTGAAACCCCGACCTAATAGATTATATGGAGATAGAAGTCCATTATTTGGAGGTTTCACTGTATTAACCAGAAAACTAAAGCCTTTAACAATTGGTAGATTGAAGAGAGTGGCGATCATTCTCTCAGAAGAGAGAAATAGTTGAAGACTTTGAAATGTTAAAGTAGAATCGTGGGAGCTATTATTGAGGACTTAAATGATCAGAGGTTAGGAGTGTGGATTGTATTGTATAGCTCGTGATCTGTTACAGTATGGTTGTTGTATCGACTACAGGATGGTTCCATGTAGCTACTGTATGTGTGAATCTTAGTCCAGCGTGAATGAAGTCTAGATGTGAATCCAGGTATTGTGAAACCAGCATAAACAAGATTTATTCTGTATAGCGAGGCATGAAAAATGGATTTATTTTTTCTTACATGCATAATTTGATGTGAGACTTAGCAATAATATAATACCTTCAGGTGAAATACTTTGTTTAATCATTGTGGCTTTATGCTGCCAACTTTTATCATTGTTTTGTTTAGGATTTTGCCTGCAAACACATGTATGATATTTGAAACCCATTATAGTAATGTTTGTATTCTAATGTATGTATATATGTATATATATATATATATATATATATTTTTTTTTTTTTTTTATTTATTTAATTTTCCATTAACAGTTCAGTTTCAATATGTTTGGAGAGCCGCTGCAACCACGGCCATTCAACACCCACTATCGGTGCTACTCGGTCTCCATGTTCCCCGGAGATAAACAGGCTGTGGAGAATGGTGGCAAGAGTGAGTAGAAAAAGCAATGAGAGCTTGTGTTTATCATTTTTATTACATCTATCATATCTAGAATTAGTGATGCTTGATAATTTGATCCCTGGAACTGGTAATTTGGTCCATTGAACTGGGAATTTGACCCATTGAACTGATAACTTGGTCTATGGACCTGATTATTTGGTCCATGGAACTGATAATTTGATCTATGGAGCTGGTAATTTGATCTATGGAGCTGGTAATTTGATCTATGGCACTGAGATTGTGTACACAACCTACAGTGAGTGACCTACAAGATTTATACCTATGGAATTACTGACTCAGCTCTTGTGATGCTAAGTGCTATTTTTACATGATCTTACTCCTGTGGTACTGTACATTATACTTTATTGTAGTTGTAATATATTTATTGTTTGATCCTCATCTTAGTGTGTTACTGTAAGCCATTTTCTCATAAATTTTACATTGTCAATTGTCTTCTCTCCAGAATAATTCCCCACTATGATACTAGACCTTCAGAACTGCCTCTCTTTTTCTTTTATTTTTTCACCAATTACGGTACGGGTACTCCTTGACTTACGACCACCCGGACGTACGACCGCCGCAGTTGTATAAAATATTTTTCAAATTACGTATTTTCGAGTCCCAACGTTAGTGAACGCGCTATGTACTGACAAATTTTCGTTTGTAATTCACTTTGAAATGGCTGGCAAGCGTAAAAGTGAGAGTTCTCGTGGTGCTGAGAAGAAAAAGAGACGCCCATTTTAGATTTTCTATGTATTTTTTTCGCATTTTAGACTTACGACCAATTCGACTTATGACTGGTCGTCGGTCCCTAACCCCTTCATAAGTCGAGGACTGACTGTACATTATTTGGAACATCATACCAAATTAAATATTTCATCTGTTTTTTTATTGACACCATCACCCTACATCTCATTTCTCTGGTCTTAATTCCAAACTATTTCATTACTCTTAATAAATTACACAGAATAATATTTTCACTTTCACCTCTCCACCTTGTACTGTGCTGTTCTGTTCTAAATCTTATGTTTTACTGTTATTTTCAGTTATAATGCCACCTTCAGCATTGGATGTTCTGACACGTCTTAATATCGTCTACCCAATGTTATTCAAACTGACAAACCAGCGGGCTAACAGACACACTCATTGTGGTGTGCTAGAGTTTGTGGCTGATGAAGGGAAAGTATACATTCCCTATTGGGTAAGTTTCACTATTTGTCCATATTTCAGTTTCATAGTCAAAAGGTGCCAGAGATACTGCCCAGACAACCATGGAAACACATAAACAAATGAAAAACCTCTGAGTACCATCCTTTCACACACGCTTTGCCAGGCACGTAGAGGTGGATCAGGGAGGGGGAGCACAATAACTAAATATCATTCTAAAATTTTCTATAAATTTAACCTTTCAAGGGGCCTTGGGTAGTGCTGATAATATAAAAGGTAAATTTGGTGGATAAAGGGTTGAGAACCCCTGGTATAGTTCACAAATCATTGTCACTTTGGAGGAATTTGAGGTGGAAAAGTTAGGTTTGGTATGTTGAGGTTCTTTTTCTTCTGCTGAATATTGGAGAAGGTTGATCATAGGGATTATTGCTGTGAGAAGAGGCTCTAGTTATCTTTTAATTGATTTTATTTTCAATGAGACAATCCTTAGGTAGTCTGAAATGCTTAGTTGAAAATGAGATACCTTGTTGTAAGTCCAAAGATACTGTGCTGTATTTGTTACTAGCATGGAGAGTAGAGAATGGTTTTCATCATTCTCTCTGTTTAGTTCTGGCAGTTGGTTCTGTAGGCTACCCCATAGACTATATGAAGCCATTTATTCAGTTTTCTTTCATTTGTATAACTCAAGAGAAAAAAAAGAAAATTATAGAGGTGTTCGGTGATTGTACATAAACGTTTTTGTTCTCGTGTCTTGTAAAATGTAACTTGTAATGTTAACAAATATATCATTAATATTTTCAATTACTTAAAAGGGGTTTTCTATCCCTGTGTACAGTACTCTAACCTTGCAAATATCTTCCTTATTCTGTGATTTCATGTAAGTTGGTCCTTTTAATGTGATTACACAGCAAATACATTTACAGAGCAAAAATTATTATCCAGTTTTACACACTATATTAATTCTATATTTTTTAATCTCCCCTTTCTTCCTTTATAGCTTGGGAGATGCCATAAAGTTTGTTGGCTCATTGGTATGGAGTTTCTAAATGCTGTAGTTATGAGCAAAGGAAGACTGTAAAGTTTTGGATACTTATCACCCAGTTTTCTTTCTTTGGATTGCTCTTTGCTTTTGTCTCTACCTTTAATATTTTATTTGGTTTATGCTAGATGATTTTATTCAGTACAGAGGGGATCCTTCACTCAAGTGGTTAGAATGAAACAGTTGTGTTAGGCATTGATCTTTTCTTTAGACTAAATAGCATTCAGTACTTACTGTATGTTCTAAAAGTTAATTTAATAAAGAAAATTTTTTCTTAGGGTTTGCCTTTAATTTCAGACACTAATTGTTGACACTCCTTTGACAGATGATGAGGAACCTCCTGCTGGATGAAGGTGATCTGGTGCACATTGAGTCACAGTCCTTACCTGTTGCCACATTCTCCAAGTTTGAACCACAGAGTGTAGAGTTCCTCGACATCACAAACCCAAAGGCTGTTTTGGAAAATGCCCTCCGGAATTTTGCCTGCTTGACCTTGGATGATGTCATTGCCCTCAACTATAATGACAGAATATACGAGATGAGAGTACTGGAAGTGAAACCCGGAAATGCCGTTAGCATCATCGAGTGCGACATGAACGTAGAATTTGCCGCCCCAGTAGGGTATCAAGAACCAGAGAGAATGGACAGTGCGGCAGCTTTACCCGAAGACGACAAGGAGGAAATGCTTCACGAGCCCACAGGGTTTTATTCCTTCCAGGGATCAGGAAACAGACTTGATGGTAAAAAGAAGAACTTACAATTGCCACAAGAAGAGTTATTAAAGAGGCACCCACGTCAGCGGGGGATTCCCGACTATGACTACGAAGTGGGCCTCATCAAGTTCTGGAGAAAAGTTCCTAAAGTGGCCGAGACAGAGACCAAAGTGGAGGAGCAAGAGGAATTTGAGTCCTTCCAGGGTAAAGGCACTTCTCTGAGACAAGCAAAAACTAGAAAGTAGAATTCTAATAGTACTGTTTTACTTAGATACTGTAATGCAAATTATTATTATTATTCAACCCTAATTTTTTCTAAAGATCTAGATTACAGAGTAGCATTTAGTACTGTATTGGTAATGTGAAAGTGAATATTGTAAATTTTCACTTGTAGCATCTCAGCAGTGTTTTGTTTTGATATTTTTCATTCATTGTAGACAGTTGTACAGGTACTAATATGTCTCCCTTCATCTGTCACTCTAAAGTAGGGCATACACTCGTTCCTAAAACTATCTTTACGAGAGGGGTGTGATGAATTTCAAAATGAACACTGCAATTCCTGCTCTTTTGGTGGGGTTGTCAAATTCCTTTGTCCGTTGTGTAATATATTGCACAAAATCCTGAAGATACTTTTGGAGCTAGTGTGCAGTATTAGCCACTTTTCTGGGTGGGTTGACTGCCTAAGGTGTCTGGTGTTATTCAGCATATTGGTTAAAAAGTGATAAATGTGAGTTGATGGTTCTGTCAAGACTGGAAGTTGCCATTTGTTTTGAAAGTGAAAAGTAAGAGGTTCAGTTTTTCATTACAATATAAGAATCAAAGTTTTGTTTATTATACCCATTTTCTCCCAACAATTTTTTATGGTAACATTACATGCTACCAAAGTAAACTGGCCAATATCTACTTGGTTTTGCAGCATCACTTAAAATGGAGTTTAATCATGCATTTGATCTGATTGTGAGATTTACTTGTTGCAGGATAATTTTCCTATTGGATTTACAAGTTAAACACCATCAGTTCTTCAATTATATATTAGTGTGATGATAATAATGAAGTAAAGTGGCAAATGACTTTGCCATGGGAGAGGAAAGGAAAGAGAGAAGGAAGGTATAGATATGGGAAGTAAATTAGTAGGAGGTGATAGCAGGTGGGCTGTCCACCTAGCCGAGACATGTTGATATGTTGGGGTGGTGGCCACACACAACAGACGCCTGCCCTCTCAAGGGAGGCGGGGAGGGGGCTAAGCTAGCTTGGCATTCATTAGTGTAATGGGTGTTAATATATGTTTGTTAAATGGTGGTGTTATTTGTTCACATGTATGTGTTAAATGGGTCTTGTTCTATGTTAGCATGGAGGCTCTTGGGCCACCAGCTGTGTGTTCTAGAAGTTACTTCTTCTCTTAACTGGGAGAATATTGGGTCCTCCAACTCTTCAAGTTTACAACAGATTCTTTGGGCTTGGCTGTGTGTTCAGTGGTTTGATATTGTATAATTCGTGAAGTTCTTGTATTTTGGTGGTGTATGGGGGGGGGGGTTGCTCTATGGGAAGCTTTGTTTTGTACTAATTGAAGTTTAAGTTGGCTGGTTTTGCTGATCATGCTGAGTGGTATTGGTGCGTACTCCTGGGGGCGGACAAGTACTGTGAATAGGTGTAGTTGAATTTTGGTGTCCATTTTGCTAAATCTTCCTTTTTTTGAGAGTTGTAATTGGGCAAGCGTTGTGTTATGTGTTTTGCTATGCCTGTTCTTGTTATTGCGAGTCCCAAAATTTTGCCTTCGTTGGAGTATTGTATAGGTACATTGTTGACTGTGATTGGTGCTGGGTTTATTTTGGCAATGTGTATGATATTTAGTTTCTGTGTATTGGTTTGTATTTTCCACTTTTTTTCATCATTGTTAATGTGCTCGATGGCATGGGCTGTTTTCCGTGCCATCATCTGTTTGCCCTTGCCTGGATGTTGGATGATTTGGGTGACGTCATCAGCATAAGCTATATATTCTCCGTGTATAGGAGGTGGCATGTCCACTGTGTATATTGTGTAGTGTTGGCGAGAGGTTACTTCCCTGTGGTACTCTGCTGTATAACTTCATGCTTGGGCCTATGTGGTTACCAATGATAATTTTAGCCTCTCTGTTATCAAGGAAGTTACAAAGAAAAGGAGTGAAGTTGTTGGGAAGTTCTTAGTTGGTAATTTTGTATTTGAGCCCTAGGTGCCAGACCTTGTCGAATGCTTTTGTTACGTCCCTTAATACTACAGTACGTTGCATTGATCTCTGTTGTGCATTGCTTTTGCTATGTTTTTGTAAATTATGACTAAGGCTGTATGGGTTCCCTGTGTTTTCTAAATCCGTGTTGCCTGGGGTTCTATTTCTCTTCAAGTTTGAGGTGTATTCTCAGTCGGTGGTTAATGATTTTTTCCAGGACTTTTCCCGATGTTTCTAGAAGAGAGATTGGTCTGTAATGTGATACTTGAGTGGGATATTTACCTTGTTTTGGTGTAAGTCTGATGCTTGCTGTTTTAAATTTCCTTGGGAAGTAGCCAGAGGCGAGTGATGCATTAAAAATGTTTCTGAGTTTGAGTGTCATGTTGATTAGTAGATGCTGGAGTATGAGTTTGTTTATTTTACTGATGCCCGGGGCCTTGTTCTTGAAACTGTTTATTGTTTTACGTATTTCCTCTGCTGTGATTGGTTCGATCAGTGTGGAAAAATCGTCAAGAGCGTTTATGTCTATGTTGGGAACTTGGTTGTTGGTTACTTGCTGCTCGGTGTTCATACAGAAGTTCAGGTTGTTTTCTTGGCTTATTTGAAATGTTTTGCTCCAATATTTCCTGAATTCAGGTTCTTGTTCTTTGGGTTCGGTTAATTTGATTTGGTTGCTGTTTAGAATATAGTTTGATTTGTTGCTGGAGATTCCCACTAGGTATTTAATTTTCCACCGGAATTGTTTCTGGTTGCGGTAAATTGCTTGTGTCTGTTATTAGTTTCTCCCAGTTATTCATGTAGGCTTCTTTGGACATGTTTCTTAGTTGTTCGTGTATGGTGGTATATTGTCTTCTGTATTCTGGCGTCCATCCTTGTTCTATGATTAATTTTAATAAATTACTGAATTGTGACTGTAGAATTCTTGATTGATGTGAGTATTGAGGGTGTGGTAATGTTCGGTGAGTGGTCTTGGGTATGTGGTGTTCCATTGCTTGGCTCCCGTTTTTGTACCATATCTCTAGTGTGTTGACTATTTAGGAGGTGTGTTTGTTGTGTAGTTGGGTGATTTGGTGATTGTTTAACTCTTTGGAATTCGTCCCAGTTGCACCGGCTGTAGCTGTATCTCATCCTGGCAGGGATCTGTATTGGCGACGTGGAGAGTGTGGCTACGATAGGGAGATGGTCACTGGTGGTTATTGGGCCGGGTTCCATTTGCAGGTTAAGATGGTGATGCTGGTTTGTTAGTACTATGTCTGGATGTCCGATTTGACCTGCTCTGATGTATGTGGGGAATTCCGGGTCAAGGTATACTGCGTTGCAAAGACTCAATAATGTGTTTAAAATCTGGCCTACGGCGTTGTTGTCCTGGTGCTCCAAGACGTGGTGTCGTGCATTTAGGTCACCCAGAAAATAAGCTGGTAAATTTCTTCTCATTAGTTTGAGCACGTCTGCAAGTAGGAATTTGGGTCTTCTCGGAGGGAGGTAACAGGTGCCGATTATAATAGGTCCTGTTGGGCAGTTAATTTCGATCGACAAAGTTTTCTTGAAATAAGTCGTGTATCTTGTGTTGTATGTTTCGTTTGATGGCTACGGCAATTCCATCATGTTGTACGTCTTGACTGTTTTTTTGGTAAACTGTGTAGTTAGATATTTGTACTTTTTCTGAGTTTTTCTTACCATGCAAATTTATGAGGATAATATCTGGCTCTATGTTATGGTATGTGTTAAATATTTGGCTTGTTCTCTGTGGGATCCATCCTGAAACATTGTGTTGGACTATTTTAAGTTTGTTTATTTTGAAGGCTGGTGCCTAGAGCTGGTTTGTGCCATTTTTGCTGACTGGTGTTCCCCTGACCCCCTCCTGTCAGTCAGCAGGCCCAGGCAGAGCTCTTTATATGCTGACTGATCAACTCTCTATTCTGTTGTGTCTTGTGATGATTCTTCCTTTCTTAATTAGTGTTTCAATATGTGTGTCTTCTAGGTTTTTGTCTAATCAGATTTGCTATAGGCCTACTGAGAACTAAGACACTTGAGTATGTAGGCAGGCTGGGGCTGATCAGGTGTTGCCACATTTGTCAGGTTTATTTATTTATTGATTCAGTATTATATTGTCATTTGGTTGGCCTCTTATGGTTTATGGTTCATCATGATTAATATATCATCTTCAGTAATCGAGAAAAAATACATTAATGCATGTAATTTGTAATATGACTTGAAAATAAAAGGAGAAGCTGTATCAAAAGATTATTTACTCAAGATGCTTTCGTGTGAGAGCTTTCAATAGACCAGCTTACAACAGGGGTCACTATAACACACTGTATAGTATTTGATATGAAGATACCTTCTTAAATATTTTATAAACAACCTTTGAGTGTTATATAATGACTCAGTTTGGCTACTTGTACACTTAGACAAATGATTAATGAATAAACCAGGGTATATGCAGATGCATAATACTTACACTACAGTATTACTTATTGATGCTAAATACACTACAATAGTATTTGTGGAATTATTGCATTTACACACCGTTCATTCCTACCACTAATCTATTATCATATTCGAATAAGACGTCTAATTATAAGATAATTTTCATCTACATTATTACATTACCGGCGGAAATGTATAATAACGGAGATAGCATATCCAAAATTTTCTCTATTTTCTTCCATTAATCTTCCTCTATTATCGCCTGCCTCACCTCCAACCATGCGTGTCTCCTGCATCTCCTTCATAAATCATCACGCGCATGCTTTCCCATACACTTCACGCAGCCAATCAAAAGCGTTTTTGTTTTTGCAACAAATTAAAATGATTTTGGGTTTAATTCGAGGTATATTTGGCCCAATCAAATTCGGGTGTTATTTTGAGTCTCATATTTCGGAATTCAAGTTCAGTTCCGACCATGGAAGTCTGTGATGGGTGTCACTTAAATTATATGGAGCTGATTGTGAGTTTTGGGGAAAAAAACGAAGAAACTATAGCATTTTTTCGATCGCATGGTGTTCTTCCAACCTCAGTAAAGTGTACTAAGAGCAAGACTGAATGCAAATATCGCAAAAACCAACATATGTGGCGTTGTGTAAGAATCTCAGAATCCAACGACGAACAAGAACCAGGCCAATAAGGTAAGAAATAGGCGATTCCATCATATGGTGAGTCAGTTAGGTTAGGTTTGGTTTTTGTGTTTCTAGTGGTTTTTTGGTGTATTTTGCCATGATTTTTTTTTCGGGAAAACGTCCAATGAAAAAAATTTGATAAAAAACAAAAATCGGCTAATTTCCGCCGGTCTAAACACACACAAATACACTAGAAAAATATATTTTTTACTTTCTAACAGAGAACGGTGTGACAATGCAAATTTACTACAATAGTATTTATTAAGTGGTGATAAATACACTGCAATAGCATTTATTAAGTGGTGATAAATACACTACAATAGTATTTATTAAGTGGTGATAAATACACTGCAATAGTATTTATTAAAAAAATGATAAATACACGACTGTACTATACTAATTCACTAAGTGCTGAAGACACGTTGTGGTAAGCCGATCAGTTGTTTGCCTTTTGTAAACAATGACTTATGGTTTTCAGTGTGGGATTAATTTTTCAGGA